ATCACTAAGCATGGACGGATTATGAGAGAATGGGTCTCTTAGCACATACATACAATGGTTTAGTTTTTAACATGAATCTGTCTTTGGCTCTTTTCTGCTGTAACAAATGTAAATGTCCCCTCTGTGGGATGAATAAAGGTATTCTGATTCTGATGCTGTATTGTTTTGTGTCTCTTTTTAGTTGATACACCACTTATATTTCTATTCATTTTGTGTCTTGTTGTTGTCATTTGGGTGTGTTTACTTTCTGCTCATTTTTACTGTAATTTCTTGGGTTTTCAGTTGTTTTATGGCTGTTTTTGGTTAGATTTGTTTTTTTGGTTGTGTTGTATATCTTCCTGGTCAATGTCAATGTTTGATTGACATTTTGTGTGTGAAGTGCAGGGGAACCCCTAACCCACAGCACCTCATTATCCAGAATCACTGCTGCAAATGTGACTTGTTACATGTCATTAAAAATGCATATGCTAAACCAAAGCTAAGAGCTTACTAGTAGGTGTAGCATCTGAGGAAGTAAAACATATTTGAATCCACAACAAGGTGCATTCCACTCACTTCTAAAGGCCAGTCTTGTCTTTTCAGACCATGTATCGTGCCAGCATACGTGACGACTAAAAGCAATCTGGAGGAGGATCCCAGAGGCTCAGCACTACAGACAAGAGGCTTTCAGATATATGAGCAATAGTTTTGACACCTACACAGTCTACTCCTGTATCCTTATCTGTGAGGCAGTTTGCTTACCAAAGGAGATCATAGTTCACCATGGTTTAATAAACAGAGGAACACAAGATGGGAAGAAATAAATCATAATCAGGACAAGGCTTCAATGGTCTTAGGAATCTGTGCTCAATTGTCAGTGTGCTTACGATGAAGTTAGAAAAAGAAAAGCTGAGTTATCATGCACACAGGCCTGGACACTTTCTACCGACACACACTTCTGTTATTGTTGTTTCAAATGACTTTGTTGATACACCCATACGCTCTCCTGCACCACTCAGCAGTCTTCAGACCCTTCCTCTACACATGATTCAAAATCTATAGTGTATCTCAAGTTTACAAAAATAACAAATTGAGCAATGCTTGCAAAAGCAACATTTACTCAAGGAACACGATTGTGGGCAGTTTCCCTGATTTGATTTGAATGTTGGACCTACAGTGCAGTGTCGTAACTCCATTTGATTATCGCAGTTTAAAGTGACTCCTAGGGAAAATAATTATGGGCAGGCAAATGCACATTCATGAACGATGGTTCAAATTTCCAATCTATTTGATACACGGATGTAAATATGCTCCATTACAACTAAAAGTTCAAAGGTACAAAATGTAGTGTCAGAAAAATGTTCTTAAAGATAAAAAATATAATGTCCCAACGGTTTTTCAGCATTTTACTTTTGTGGTGGAGCTAGTTTGAATGACTTGATATGCATTAAAGCAGTTCGATCCAGCGCTACCCTGCCTTGGAGTCAGACCCTTCTAAATGGGTCAAAAGATACATCTGAGGGAGATGAAGGGTTAACAGGAAGAACATTTATTTTGATCTAAACATTTTGTATGTTTCTTGGTCCTTGTTAAATGATATAATGGAAGTAGGGTCATATTCTCATAGACTTCTATACAATTGGACTTTTCTTAGAAATCGCCACTGGCTGGAAATTTACATTTTTGTATTCCCAGATCCACTTTCAATGCGTAACAGTTTGGAAAATTCCACAATAAGGACAACTATAAACCGAGTTCATCATTTGACAGTAATTCTTTAATATATAGTTTTGATTTGTATTTGTGAAATACTAAATGTTTGCTCTCTTTTTTTAATCCGACTATACGTAGCATCTATTCAATAATCCTGTTCATCATACATGTACGTTTCTTAAGTAAAACTAAAATAAAACAAACCAGATTAAAAAAAAAACGCAACCTGCTTGGTTTGTCCACAGAATAAAAACTGCAGGTACAGCGAATGCAGCAGTTATTGCTTAATACAAGATCAGTGGGTAAAATGTGTGGATCTACTTCTGAATCAGAGCTTGTGATTAATCCACAAATGAGTAGACCTGACATTAAAACCACTAAAAGCAATAAGAATCCAGTAAATAAAGCTTTTTAAAAACCAAGCCAAACACAAGTATCAGCACATTTCACAGAGAGCGGCTAGGTGCAGCGGGGTGTGTAATGTGATTGTCCACCGTTTGCATCCTATTGTGTTCAACAGTGGCACAGGGGATGGATACAAACAGGAGGTCTTTACAAGAAATTGCATTTAAGACAACAAAAAACCTCAAGCGGTCAAACTTGAGAGGCGCTGCATTCAAATGAATTGAACTGAGAACGCAACATCTGTTGTGAAAGTTACATCTTTTGTTCTCTGAAAAAGGAAATGTCTACACAACCCTTGGGCAAAGTCGAACATTTTCACAATGTAATTTAATTGCATGCTTACAGGAGGCTTTTAAAGGTCCCAAACACACCATGGCATGTCGATTATTCACTGCTTCTAATTATTGTACACGGCTAAATAAAAATGGTCTGGAGGACAGATTCAAGGGCTGACGCCATCTGGATTTCACCATTACTGCAGTGGGTGATGGGAACCGTAAACCCCTGTTCAGCTTGAAGATGAGATGTTGGAGGAGGCTGGTGTCCCTAGCAACAGCCTTAGCTCTCTGATTGTAATGCAGGCACTAGGCCAGCAGAGGTGCAAATGCAGGTGTAATTTCACTATGCTTGTGCAGCGCCAGCTTCACACTTTTGTGGCTCCAAAGGAACCCGGATGTGCATGAGGTACGAACGATGAGAGAAGCAGATTGGCATGATTATTCACATAAATTAGCACGGTGTCATTTTGGCACCAAATGGTGTAAAAATTCAACCAGTTTTCACCTGCTTTATTTAGTGGAGGCACACGTATTGGACGTTTTTCATCTGGTACACATTTCAAATACATTTTAATAATTGATTAATGCCAAATTATCTACAACGGTGTGGGGAGGTCCTTCTGTTTGAGTTCAGTAGACATTCAGCAGCAGCAGCAGAAGGGGGAAGACAGAAGGGGATTTGATTGGTCTTTATTGAAGCAGACCCCGATGGTACCTGCTGACGTACTTCTTTGACAAATGATATATATTCATCCCGCTCCAGACCCTTCTCAGGGCTGCTCCAAGATTGCACTTGTACATTGCCAGGCCCATGTGCGATTGGCATGAAGGGTAATGAACAAAAGCTCAAAGATTCATCCAGCAGGCAGACATGTGCAGCACGGTCTTCAGCAGCAGTGAGATTGCATTTCTACAAAGTTGTTAAGAGTTATAAAAGGAAAAAAAAGAAAAACGTTGTGCCGTCAAATCTCCTTTTGTGTCAGCACCAATTCAGTAATTCAGAGTTTCTGAATACTGATTATTGCATTAATAATTAATTACTTCATATGATCTATATACCATATCACTGCCATTTTCTTTTATTTATGGTACAAAACTCCTTTGCCTCCATCAAACCGCTTTTTTTTGTAACGATCCGTTCTGAGCATGAACAAACCTCGGGACGCTTTCGTACTTTTAGCCGCCCCCGAGGGATTTGGAATGGGTCCCTGTGTGCACATTTACTGTTGACTGAATTGTCTAGTTTGTCGCAGTGATCTGGGACATTTTGGTGGTGAGTATTTTGAACCTTTTTTTAGCGTTTCTGGGACAATGGGTCTTGGGTTTTAATGCACCCCTCTCCTTCTGAAATATTGTTATTGTTTGTCCTGAGTCACACTTTGTAGACTATTTACTTTATAAATAAAGCTTTAAAGGCTGTTTTTCTTGCCAAAAATACATCTGTCTAGTTCATTCTGCCAAAATAATAGCAGGGTGATTTTGTTTCTTCTGAGGTTATCAGCATTTTCACTTGCTGTATAACTGCCACATGACAAAGGCAAATGATAAAGGCAGCAGTTCTCTAATTAAAGTCATCACGAGGCTCTCTGGGTGTTCAGCAGTCTACTGTGGGCAAATATCACTCCTCCATCCCATAAGTGCTCCCTTTTGCTCTGGTCTCATATTTAAGTGTTTGCTCTTGCTCTAGAATTCCAAATACTAGTGATGCTGTTTTTAGGGTCACAGAGGGGTAAAGCCTAGCCCAGCATGAGTAGATTTTTTCGCTGTATCTCAATATTTTTTCCTGAGACATCATCTCCTTGCATTATTAAATATTTCGAAAAGTTTAAAAGGACATGAATAATCCATCCATCTCTTCCCTATACCATGCCATCCTCTTTTTTTCTGGGGAACTGCCAGCATGCACAAACGGCAGAGAAAGTCCCATTACTATGTTTTCAAGCTATCGCTAGTAGCGGCAGGGTCATACTCACGGTTAACCTGACCTGATTTGTCTTCGGACTGCAATATTAACAGAGTGGAGGAAGGGCCTTAAAATGGAGGGTCAAAATAGTTGACTAAATAAGTCATTCTAACCTGTAAAACACTTCACTGTGCGTTCAGACCGCCGGTGACTGTAAGGGACAAACCAACGTCCAACAATTGTCGCTGCAGGACGTGCTACAACTCAAAGTTTAGCTGACCTCGTCTTTTTTCAGTGCTCTGATTACTTTGTGAAGCGTCAAACAATCCTATTTTTTCATATATATATTTTTTTTAAAAAGTTAAACCCTGCAGACATGCATTTAGAATTAACATTTAGAATTAACACTTATCACGTGGTGATGAATCCGTTTACTCAACAGTACTGACTTTTGAGCTGCACATCTGTCCGTTTGTGCTTAAATTGTGATTGTGATTACAAATAAATGTTTTGGCGACACACATTTTGACACCCATATCATTTTTTTGCTTTTAGTAAATGTTAAAAATCTTAAAATACATCTAGTACTAGTACCAGTTTAGGATCACAGAGTACACATACAAACCAAAACAGGAAGAAATAAAGTATCGAATGTATTAGCCTCAATCCACAAATGCTGATGGTTACCATAAGAAAATAAACAGCGTCTCCAGCGTTCTTACCTCAGCCCGTAGAGGACAGTGCCATCTGGGTGCAGTCGGATCATACGGTTCTTCACTGTCACCCCATGAAGAAAGGACTTCTTGTCGTTAAGGAAGTAGGTGTCAGGGAGCCACAGCTGGTCTGCTACACGGTTGTCCAGAGTCAGGTTCAGCTTCATCTCAGTGTAGGCCAGACGCTTATCCCGCCAGCTCTGCTGGAAATACATTGTGATGGTGTAGTCCTGGGGAGAAGGAAAACAAAATCACAATAACCGTTCAGATGAACACAAGGCCATAAGCTAATGAAATAATTGGGCCAAAAGTGCTTTTCTTTGTATCTTATTGTTTGCTTCCAGTGCATGGTTTGAGTGAACCCTTTATAGTGGGCATGGTTTAACAAACTAGTAATGACGCATGAACGTAGAAGTTATTACTTCAGCCTTAAAATCACAATTACCAGATGATACACTAAGTCATGTAGGGAACAAGAACAATGTGCAGAGTTTAAGCTGACATGAAGATGTCGATTCAGTGGTTTACCACAATGTAATTAAATGAAGGACAAAGAGAGGAATAAGCACTTGCGATAAGGCCACCGCAGCAATAAAAGCAGAAAGCATCTGCTACAAGCGCACTACACTAAACTGTTGTTATGCTCTCAGAACATGAACATTGTTTTTGTCTTTTTATGCAATCAGAAAAACAAACTGCTCCAGATCTGTAAAATAGAACATGGGCATCAAACCAATAAATACTGCTGTGCTAGTGTTTTACACTGTTTCTAACTGACAAAGGGCCTTTCTTATTTCTCTAATTTCCCCTCCTCGACTCCTCGAATCCTCAGTCCTCCGGTAGTGACCCGGAAATGGTTTTCAGGCCATGTTGAAAGACATCTAATTTCTCCAAATGCACATCGAGGACCGAGGATTGAGCGTCGAGGAGGCTCTCTGGAGGAGCTATAATCGAGGATATACTGATGGGTCCTCCACGGTCCTCCGCGGCTCCTCCGCGGATGCATTTCCGGCAACAGTGATGTTTAAAAAAGTCGTGACGCACGGCCGGACTTATCTCAGCCAATGACAGCTCTGCATGCATCCCCTGGATATTATTTTATATGGGGATATATCCAGTCTCTGATAGTGTTACGTTATTATGCTGTGAGTGCTCTCATAATTGTTTGATTCTGAAATTATATTTATATAAATATATATATATATATATATATACATATATATATATATATGTGTGTGTGTATGTCCGCATCAGTAGCCTGTTATTGTCTCATTATACCGCACTGTGAATGAATGAAAAGTAAATATATAAGTCATCATGAACACATCTGTCCATCACACAGAGGGCCGCTGTGCCTCCTGTCATCATTAATGGACGTCTCTTTAAAATGACCGCTCAGAGGAGAGGAGTTCTCATTTCTCTAACCGCCTGCTGCTTCCCCTCCTCTCTCCTCGGTTCCCCTCCTCGACTCCTCCGCTCGCATCTCCTGTGGGCAGGACTAAGACACGAAGATAGGAGTCGTGTGGAGGCGTGTGGTGCAGTGGGTTGTGAGTTGGTATTCGGATCAGGAGGTCACAGGTTCAAACCCCACTGCAGTCAGCATGTCGTTGTGTCCCTGGGCAAGACACTTCACCCCAAATTGCTCCTGTGGGGATTGCCCACAGTATTGAATGTATGTAAGTCGCTTTGGATAAAAGCGTCTAACAAGTGACATGTAATGTAATGTAATGTAATGTAATGGGAAATTAGTGAAATGAGAAAGGCCCATGAAATATTGTGTGCCATTTATCTCCAATAATTTTTTTAATTGCATGTTCGCCTAGCTTCATGTGTTTGAGCATGATGCATGATGGGACCGTCAGGATCCCTTACATCCTGCTTTGTAATTAATGAAGCAAAGTATTTCGTATTGAGAAGTATCCATCATGATGAAGTGAATGAACACACAGGTCTTAATACGCACTCAACCATACAACTGATAAACTACTCAATCAGCCCCCTCGCTCATAAATGTTATTAAAATGAGCCGTTTATAAACGCATATTTGATGAAAGGAGCTCTAATCTAAAACTTTATTTTACATAGTTTTTAAAAGAGCATCATTACAAACATTAATATTTTGTCTTCTTTTTTCCCATTAGAGCAATTTTTAAAAGCCTCACCCTCATTACAATGAATTAAGAATCAAATATACATACAACTTATCAAGTGTTACCGCTTAAGACTCATGATTCAGAGTCATACAAGAGCAAAGACATCTCAAGCCGATCACAAACACATTAAGAACAAAGACTGCTATGGATTTTCAACTTTTATCGCAAAAGGAGAACACTTAAAGTATGAAAAAGATATATATATTTGTTTTAACTTGGGCTTGATCACCATATAGGTGAAGTCACGCTGAGGGAAATAAGGAGAGTGCCAAGAGACAAAATGACGTCATCAATGAGCAACCCTTTTTCAGTAGTTCAGTACATTGCAATATTTATTTTCATTTAAATATGTCTAAAGTCCTTCCTATCTCCACAGATACTCTGTAGTATCCTCAGCCTGGTTGAATCCTTCAGACCAATAACCAGATTGTTTTCTGGGTGGGAAGCCAGTGCGGGATCGTACGACGAAAGTGTTTGTAACTCACCATGTTTACTTCTGAGATGGAGTCGATGCTCGCAATGTTGATGCTCATTCCTACGATGACTGGAGGACCTGAGGAAAGAAAGGAAAAAGTCGAGTCACTAACATGCAACCACTGGAATTTGAATGCACTTTCATTTGTGCCAAGCAGCATAAAGAGATAGAGTGGAGAGAAATCACCTTTACTTTTTCATAACCTTAGGTGCATACACGGTACCATAGAATTGTGTATACAAAAGAAACGATTTCACCCACACACGTGTTTTAAATATTCCTAGTTAAAAGACCAATTTCATATTTATTTGCATTATGCATTCTTTGCACATGTTAAACAACATTGATGAAACATTTAAATCTGTTCTTGCTGTCCAGAGGGTGTATGTGTAACAGAGAGTAAAGACCAGCTACTCTCCTGTTATGCTTGAGAAACAACACAAGGAAAATGCATTCATCCAAGATAATTTGTAAACTCGAAAGGAATGGGAAAAGCAGACTGTGCATCATTGACATGATTACAGTACATGCTGTAGACATGTAAACAGCTATGCATATGAACTCCCCTCCAAGTGCAGATAACACTAAGCTCACTTTCATATTCACACAACTTATCCATTATCCATTCACAGAGGCCAAGTACCCACAGACACTGCAACCAAGGGAAGAGGAATTCAGACACACTGTGTTATGTATGAGCACACAGATAAGCATATGTACAGTATAGTATTCATCTAAGGGTCATTGTTCATAAGCATGTCATTAAGACTGTAAAGATAATTGCATTCTCTACTTATCTTACTTTATAACGACATGACTGATAGTGTTTACATAATCGGCTTAGCGCACAATATATGGATATGACCTCGATCATTTTTACGTTATCAGCTTACGATATATCGGCATTACCTAAATGACTTATACTTTAATCAACTTATGCTACTATATATGGACAAGATAATAGTGTTACCATTTATCGGCTTACAGAACCGTTTATGGACACGACCTTGATTATTTTTATGTTATCACCTTATCATACGATATATGGATACATCGTTGATAGTTCTATAATTGATCAGCTTATTGGTATATTCAGTATATAGAAATTATCTCGATAAATTGTCCTTTATTGACTTATCGTAACTGACAAGACCTTGACAGTGTTTAGATTAATCGGCTTATTGTCAGCATAAAGACATGACCTCAATATTTGTTTTCTGTTATCAGCTTATCGTACGATAAATGGAAATACTTTGATAATATTGTAATTTATTTGATTTTTTATTTGATTGTTTTTACATGAATAAGCTAATTGTACGATATATGGACCTAACCTTGATCATTTGTACGTGTAACGACTTCTCGTACTAAATGTGAACATGACTGACATTTTTTGCTCACCACGATATTTCCCTTTGTGTTAACATATGTGTTTGTCTGCATACAAATACCACTATGATTGTATCCAACATGATGCCGGTAAACAGCAGAGTTGTCCTGTCACAATGACTTGGCCTGACACTACAGCCACACCTAGTAAAGACCGACAGTAATGCAGAATAAGCTAGACGCAAAAGTGCAGAGAGGGCTGGAGTTCATTTGAAGTTTCATATTCCTTTTATCTGTTTTACACTTAATACCTTTTGTAGCAAGCAGAGAAGTAAAGCAAACTAGCGCCCAGCATTTGAGAAGCCGTTGCCCCAGGCAGTGGGTTTTGTGAGGGAACATATTTGTTGACACTGATTCTCAGTGTTTTATCATTTCAAATGATTTCTCCTTATAAGCATTTTTAGTCCTTATGTTATCCTTATCACCTAAACACGCTCCCCCCCCGTCCCCTCGTCCCTTCCTTTTCAAACCGTGTCAGCCCTACATCGCTTCAGTGAGAATGATCGGGCCACAAAATATGAAGTGCTGACACAGTGAACAGAAACAGCGAAACATCTCAGTGATTGGTTTATGAGGCAGTGCTGAATCAATAAATTCAGTTTAATGTTTCATTGTATTATAGTGGAAATGGCATTAGCATAAGGGTCATAAACAACAGAAAACAGCTGTACTACAATATGTACGTTTTGCGAGTATCATCATAATCGAAAGGTACTTTTACTCAAACAGGGTTTTAACAGTACTGTTTGTATGTTTTATTTTCCGTCCTTATGGAGCGCTTCTCTCCCTGCCACTCTGTTTGTGAAGGTCCTCTCCTGTGACTCACTGCACAATCATAGAAGACATTTAGAAAAATATGCTAATGAGAAGAACTGAACAGTTAAGAAGCTAAATGAAGTAAGGTGTCCTTGAAAATCCGTTGAGATCACTTGTTTTCACATTTTCTCTCTCCTTTAATACTTTGCAAGGTCTCGTTCCCCTACACAGTCGTATCTGCACAATGTGACAGCCATGAGCTAACAACATCTGAACAAGCCCGCCTTAACCTGCCATCAGGCCCTGGGGCTGATTTTGTAGGCCCCCTATTTAACCAACAAATCAAAGTCATTTATAGCCTCGGCAGGCTCTGTGATCACACACACACACACACACACACACACACACACACACACACACACACACACACACACACACACACACACACACACACACACACACACACACACACACACACACACACACACACACACACACACACACACACACACACACACACACCACTAATTGAGAACCATGAACAGCAACATATGGCCTCAATGCCAGGTATCAGTAGATGAGAATGATCATTATCTCCGGTGGATTAACACAAACCTAGTTATGTAAAACTATGCACAACACATTTAAACCTGCAGGCTACTGGGAATCAATGAATAGTGCAGCATTGCCTTACCTCTTTAGCAGTGTTTCCTTTTCCGAACACCACTCTCAAACTTTTTCTTCTCCGAAATTGTCTCCTAAACAACCTTCATCTGTCACTTAATCACTCACAATTTGAATCAGTCACATGTGAAACATATTCTCATTCTGATTGGTTGTTAAGTGGTGCCCACTGACTGTTACGGAGTCATCATTTTTGAGAAAAATCTCTGGAATCCATCGATCTGATTGATTAGCAGAGCAAAATATCAAAATACTACGGAGGGAAGATATTTTCGTTTGGATTACTGGTCTAGGGGAAGCTCGCGAGTGTGTGTGTATGTGTGTGTGTGTGTGTGTGTGTGTGTGTGTGTGTGTGTGTGTGTATTGTGTTTGTTTTCCGGGGAAAACACTCACGAGAAACACCGGCTGTTGTTATGCCTGCTGTGACGTCAAGTTACTCCGTTCTCTGCTTGTAATTATGCCGAAGCTTCAAAGTTGTATTTATCATCTGAATTTGCCGAAACAAGTTTAATATTCTGAAAGCCAAGACTTTGTTTATTTGAAATCAGATGAAAACAAACTGTAACGGACCCTGCAGTGTTATCTATGATTACTATACGCCTTACATTCAGAATTTCAGCGGAGGGAAGGGGAGCGGCACTGTGGAACAGCAGAGTGGCGAGGGAGAGCTGTCTTCTTCCTTTTAGCTTAAAAAATGTATTTATCGTGTGATTTTGGAAATAAAAGTTTCATATTCTGAAAGCCAAGACTTTGTTTATTTAAAATAAAAATAAAACACCTGAAATAAAAAAATTAAGATTTTAATTATTATTATTTTTTTTTTTTGATTGGCTCATGATAGGCCCCCGAACTCCGTAGGCCCCTGGGCTTCAGCCCAGGTCAGCCCGTGCATTAAGGCGGCCCTGCATCTGAAGCGTCAGGTAGGTCTCAGAGGACGGGGTGATTCATGTATACGCTCAGCTGATGGATCTAGTGCACGGGTTCATAATATAGACTTAGTTTAAAACAAGTAAAAGAGTACATGATCTCTGTTTGACCAGAACAGATCTACAACGCCCCCTGCCTTCTAATCCTCTCAAAACTCTTGACAGTTACTGAAGACAGCATATGTCATGATGATGTGTATGGGTTGCAGACTTCTTCAGATCAAATCCCATAAATATCTTTGACAATGTATAACAATTGCTATCATAACCCTAATCTGTCCAGATAGCATAGACAAACCTGAAATAAAGAATCTGAGTGCATGAAAAGGCCATATGACACAACTATACTTTCTATTATTGGATATGGCTTAAAATACATTCCAATCAAAGCTGTCACTGTGCACTTCACTAACTATAGTTCTTTCTCATTGTAATAACAGCATCAACCCTCACATTGTATTGCTTCAATCACTAATAGCATGAATCTAAATGTACCTTCTTATATGAAAGGAGAAAGGAATGAACACATTTGACCAAACACAAAACAAAACAGACCAACAATTGAACACTCTAGCGTGAATTTGTAAAACCTCATCAAATATGTTTGAATGACACAGCAGTTTGCTTGGATGAAACAAAATACATGTTTCTATGTTTTTCATCTCGGTAAGACTTCACCAAGTGCATTGTAAAACCAGACTTACATGAAAAGTATAATGGGGTCCAAACACCCCATGCAAGGCTAAACCAAATGCTCAGTGGCCCAAAGCGAACAGGAAGCCATCACTGAATAAAGTCTTACACAGGTGGTTTAACACATGTTTCTTAGCATGCCTGTGCAGGTTACACCCCCCCCCCCCCTGCAGTGCACACTGCCAGGATGTGATCATACTTTGGACCACAGGAACTGTTGCGTTATTCCAAATCAATTATTCACAAGGTATGACGTGGAAACAGGCAACTACTGTAGTTAAAACATCCAGGTCTCTTTCTGTTTTCTACAGAGCTCAGCAACTAACACCAACACAGACTGAGTTTTGTTTTTAAATGTTCCTTTAGTAATTCCACCGTCGGCCATTTCCACAACGTTGGTTACTAACTAAAGAACTGATATTGGTACATCCTGGTAACTGGGAAAAGCTAACAGGAAAAACTAAAGTGCTATCCTCTTCCTGTTTTGGTTGTGTAATTGTTGACGCACCTCCTTTTTGCCATTAATTCATTCTCTGAGGAGATGGGATACCATAGGGACCATCAAACTGCTGATAGTGTTTTTATTATATAGCCATTACATTATGCAATGGAAATTCACTACATAATGAT